GCGCTCCGCCTGCCCCTTCACCCCATCGACCAGCCCTTCCCGTCGGCGGCCCTCCCCGTCCAGTTCCCCGCTCGCCGTTCCCCCTCCCCTCTCGCCAATCCTCCCCCGTTACCCCTTCCATGCCTCCCCCTGATGGCCCCCCTCGCGCTCCCCCCTTCTGCCTCGTCCTGGTCGTCGTCCTGCTCCTCGTGCTCCGGCATCCCTGCATTATTCCCCCCCTCCCTGCCCCCCTCCTCTGCCCAGGTGCGATGGCGTTGATGGCCTCGGATAGCCTCGGTTTAAGTAGCCTCGGATAGCCTCGGCGTGAAAAGGCTCGACCGGGGGCAGGCAGGAAAGGAGGGCGAAGGCAGGGTGCGGTTGGGAAAAGGACGGGGGGTCGCAAGCTGATGCCCCCACGTCCATTCCTATGGTTGCTGGCGTTTCGCCTGAGCATCTTAACGGCCCCCCGGCCCGGTGCAAGACTTGATGTGTGCGCCTAGTACATAGGACATGTCGCCCATCGCTGCCGCACACGGCTATCGCACTGCGATTGATTGTATGCTTCAGTGTCTCAGCGGTCGGTTGCGCATGTGCGCGGGCAGCAGGGTGTCAGGTCACACGGGGCGCGCACGTGAGGGAGCTGCAAGGGCGAGGATGGGGACGGACGGGTGGGGAAGCGGAGGCGTTGAGGAGGAGGGGGAGGAAGAACAGCAGCGGGAGGGAATGCAGGAGGGGGCGGGGAAGGCGCGGGGAAGGAGGGTGGGAGGAGGAGGAGGAAGAAGAGGAGGAGGAGGAGGAGGAGGAGGATGACGAGGAGGAGGAAAAGGAGGAGGAGGAGGAGGCGGACGGGGGGGAGGATGGAGACGGGGACGGGGACGGGACGGGGACGTGGGAGTGGATTGACGATTGATGATCATGGTGGTGATGGTGGTAATTGGTGGTGCTGGCGATCCCCCCCACACGGAATGGTCACAATGCACACCGTCCACAGATGGCGGGAATGGGCAGCAGGTTTCCTGTCACCATGGCCTCCAGTAGCGACCGAACCCCATACACGCCGCTCAAGCGGCCGCGCCGCAGAAGCCTCGCCGCAGAAGCCTCGTTGCTCCTCGCCGCAGGGCAGGCCGTGCTTTAGGGAGGTTTGCCTTTGGCATGTGTCTGCAATTGTACACGGGAGGCCACGAATTGGGCGGGGCAGAGCATATGGCTCACCCCGCCACCCCTACCGAAGGGGAGTTCTACCCAGTTCCAGTGCTCTTGGCCCGCGGCCCACCCACAGACAACGCCGCCCATTGGGGGCGGAGCTGACAGACCACGGGCACCCAGCCCAGGTGTGGCCGCACCCGCCAAAGGATATGCCGAGCAAGGAGCGGCACCACGTAACTGTGCGCGGCGCGTGGGCCACTGGCCCCGCGCCTCTGCTGGCGGGAAGGGCACCAAGCTTCCTGCCACGGGCACGCCGTTCAAGCAGCCTCAACCCAGCAGCCACGCTGGCCTTCCGGCCTGCACTTCACACCTCTGGCCTTGAGGCCGCGCGTGATGGAGGGCCCTTGGCCTACGGCTTGCCCATCCCTGAATCTGGCGCCCACGCTCCAGATCCAAAGATCCGTGATGAACGTTTTCGTGCGCCCGCGGGTCGTGGCCCTTGCGAGGAGCCATATGAGCCCTCGCCCGATGCCGCCTCCAGGCCTTCGAGGTCGATGCCCGGGTTTGGGCCGTCGGCGTGGGGCGCGAGGGCACCCTCCGACAGCAGTTCCGGGCGCCCGTCCGTCGAATATCGCCTTCCGTGTAAGCCCGCGCGGTGGGGCAGAGTGCCCGAACGATGGTCGTAGGTGTCCACTGCCACGGTGTGGAGGACCAGGGCACATGGGTGTCGCCACGTGGCGGTTTCGTCCACATTTCCTGGGAGGTTTTGCAGATCCACTGCGCGAGGGAGAGGGGGAGAGAAAGGGAAAGTGAGTGGGAAAGAGCAAGGGTGAGGAAGAGAGAGCGAGAGAGGGGGGCAGGGAAAGGGGGGAAAAGGGGAGAGTGGGAGAGGGGAAGTGGTAGAAGGATCGCAACAGTTCGGGCGGAGTGCCTGTCTTGGCGCGCTGGCGACCAGCGCTCGCTGCACCCACCTCATGTGGCGGGAGGTGCCGCTTGTGTGAACAGGAGGAGGGATTCCTCTCCCCTGGCGCGGTCGGTGAGGACCACGACTGAAAAACACGACCGTGGCAGAGATGCACTGGTTTCACACACGCTTTGGCATATGTGATCCAGCGCCCGCGACGGAGACGGTGTCACTTTGGGGCACCTTCCGCGGCGGCCCAGAACTAGAGCAATGTAATAGGTGCCAGCAGTTCACGCAGCGCACGCAATGGTGTGATGTCGGTGAGCATCGAGGCACGCCTGGTGGTTTTCCTGGGGAGAGACCCCGGGGCGAGCAGGCGATCGGCCTTGATGGAGGTCGATCCAGGCGGTCTGTGCTAATTGGGATTTGCCAAGACGGGTCCTGACTGCCCTTGGGCGCTACGCAGCTGATGCCCAAGCCTTGCAGCAGACTGATGCATCGTCGTGATGCTGGTAGTTCTCTCAGTCCCGCAGTCGGGGTCGATTCACCGGCGGCCGTGAGGCGCTGCGTGGCGCGCCCCCGCTCGGTGGCCTGCGTTGGAGTCAGTCGGATGCTCCGGCCCTGATAGGTGACGTTGAGGCCGTGAGGCCATGGTGCCTTCGTTCTGGTCTGATCGCCTACAGTTAGGTTGGCTGTACTGGCCGTGCCGACGGCGCCTGGTGGCGGGTGGCTGGGCTGCACTGGCGTGAGTTACAGACGTTTGTTGGTTGCTTCATCCTCGCCTGGTGGAGGGTGGGCGGGCTGCTTTAGTGGTAGCCTCACTCGATCGGCTTGGGTGCGCGGCTGCACTGTCCAACCCTTCGTTTTTTGGCGCCGGTGTTGGCCCACCCAGTGGGCCGCTCCGAGACTCGTCGCCAATCCCGCGAGCTTCTTCATTATTGTCGTGGGCTCCTGGGACGGGGACCTGGTGGTCGCACACATTGAGAGGAGTAGTCGACTGCTGCCTTCTAGGCGGCGGGATGGGCCAGAGAGGGACGATAGGGGATGAGTTCGTTCCGGCTCGTTCCGAGTGGTCGTACCATTGTGTAGTTTGCGAGGTGGTCGGCCTGACGCATGGGGCGGGTTCCTGATGGCTCTCTACGTCCAGATGCCTCGCATACCGTCGCGTCGCACTCGCGCCGTCGCGCTGCACGTCGTGTAATCCAGTCGCACTGCTCGACGTGCCGATTCATCTCGCGTGGTGCTCAGCGTGTTCGCGCTGGCGTTGCCGCAGCTCTCTGGTGGGGGCCCGGCGACCAGGGCGGGGTCCTGGTGGCCACCCGCCTCCAGAGGCATCATCCTTTGTGTGCATTCTCGCACGCGGGGAGGGCGTGGGCGGGACACCGGGGGCTGAGTTACGTTCCGTGGGGTCGAGCCCCCGTGGTGCGTGGCAGGCGGCCTGGCACCTGGGGCGGAGTCCTGGTGGCCCCCCGCCTCCAGATGCGCACCGTGCCGTCCCGTCGCACCTCCAGCGTCGCGGTGTGCAGCGAGCTGCCCCGTCGCTCTGCTCAACGCCCCGGCCCGTAGTGCGAAGCTTGACGTGCGAGTGCGTCGCGGTGGACGCCGTGATGCTGCCCGTCTATCGTGGGGTTTCGCGTTGCCGTGCAGGCCCCGCCTCCACTCCGCCGTCGATCCCTGGGGGGCCGCCGCGAGGAGCCCGACGGTCCTCCGCACGGTGCGGGGAGACACTAAGTCGCGGACATCGCCTGTGGCGGGGGGGGGCGGGGGAGCCGAGGGGTCGCGGTGCTTCCGGGGGCCCCACCCTTTCTCGCCTTGGCGGGGGTTCCTCTTGGAGGCGCCGATCGGTTGGCAGCCCCCCAACGGCCGCCTGGACGAGCTTGGGAGACCTCTCCAAGGCGTGGCGTGGCCATGTCCGCCAACGGGGAACCGACACGGTCGGGCTGCCTGCGGTCACGGCGTTGCGGGTCGTGCTCTTCCGCTCCGTCGTAGCGGATCGACGTCGTGGTGAGCGCCGTGGTGCGAGGCGTGGTGCGCGGGTGCGTCTCGGTGCACGCCGCGATGTTGCCCGCGCATCCTGGGAGGTCGCGTTGCCGCCAGGGGCCTATGTCGACTCCTCCGTCGAGCCCCAGGGAACCGCCGCGAGGAGCCCGCCTGTCCTCTGCACAGCGAGGGGCCGCAGGGTCGCGGACATCGCCTGTCGCGGCGCCGCTGGGGGGGGCCACGCGTCCTGGCAGGGGGTTGCCGCTGGAGACGCCGCGCGGATGGCACCCTCGGAGCGGCCGCCTGGGCGAGCCTGCTCCAAGGCGTGGCGCGGCCAGAGCCGCCGAGGAGGGAACGACGCCTTCGCGCTGCTCGTGATCACGGTGCCCAGAGATCCAACGTATTGAAAAAATCAAGACGGAGGTTTTTCGTAACTTTCGGCCTCTGGGGGCCCGTACCCGGCCCCAGGACCGTCAAAAAACGATTCAGGATGAAAAACCGGTCCTTGGGAATGTGTCGAGACTTCCAGGGACCCCGTATTGAAAAAATCACGACATCGGATCTCTGGGTGCTGTTCCCAGACGCGTTGGCAAGAGGCGTGGTGCACGCAGCATTCTTAGCTTCTCTCGCCGATGTGACGCAGGTGGCGATGGATCCCGTCGTGCAGCTCAGCGCTAGGGCGTTCGGCGCCATCGTGTTGCTGGCAAGCGGCCTGGCGCCTGAGGCGGGGTCCTGGTGCCCCTCCACCTCCAGAAGCGTCATAGCCTTGCACCTTCGCGGACGCGGGGAGGTCAAGGTAGGGGCTGCCAGGCTCGCCCAGGCGGCCGTTGGGAGAAGGCGATCGTCCAGGCGCCCTTCCAGGCGGCCGCTGTTTTATACACTGCTCGCCCCACTCGGCGTCAGGCTGCTGATGCTGGTTCCCGTGGCACTGCACGTCGCTGTGGTGATCGACTCCGTCGTGTTGCACGGTGTCCCCGTGCTGGTCGCGTAGGTGTTGCTGGTGGACGTGCCGCTCGAAGCATTGCTCGTCGCAGTCGCGAGTGCAAGGCAGCTGGTGCCCATGTGCGCGAGCCCTGGTGGGCTGGCCATGGACCTCCTTCCGCTGTTCGTCACACTCGTGAGAGCGAGGGCGTCGGTGCTGGCCCCCGTGGCACTGTTCGACGCTGTGGTGCTCCACCCCATCGCGCCGCTCGGTGGCGAGGTGCTCGTGACAGACATGCCGTTGGAAGACGTGGCGATGCAGGGTCCCATCATGCTGCCCAGCATCGTGGTTATCGACCCCGTGGCGTTGCACAGAGTGGAGGTACTTGTCACCGGCGTGCTGCTGAAAGACGTGGTATTCCATGCACCGGTCGTATCACTCTCGCGCGTAGGAGTGGAATTGCTGAAGGTGTATCCCGTCGTACTCATCGTCGTTTTGCTCGATTGCACCGTACTGTACGGTGTCACGAGGCTGTTTGTGCAGGATCTCGTCGTACTGCGCAGCGTCGTGGTGTTCAGCTCCGTCGCGTTGCTCGGCGTCGAGACGCTGGCGACGAAAGTGTTGTTGGCTGGGGCACTGTTCCACGCGCTGCTCTTCCAACTCGGCGCGAGGCTGTTCATGCGGAGTCCCGACGCATTGCACGTCGCGGTGGGATTCGACTCCGTGGTGTCGCGTTGTGTCCCCATGTTGGTCGCGCAGGTGTTGCTAGTCTTGGTATCGCTCGGACGTGTACATTTTTCCTTCGACGAGGACCATCGAAGAGAGTCCTTGATCATTTGGCGAAGAAAACACGCACGAAAACGAAAAAAACACAGGGAATGGACGTCCGAGCAATGGCCAGTAGTGGACGCGCCGCTCGTGGCACTGCTCGCCGCAGCTGTGGGTGTAAGGCAGCCGATGCCCACGTGTGCGCGAGCCCCGGTGGGCTGGCCAGGACCTCACTATGTACGTTGAACGGCACGCGCGTGAATGCGAGGGTGTGGGTGCTGGCCCCCGTCGTGCTGTTCGGCGCGGTGATTCTCCACCCTCTCACGCTCGGCAGCTTCGAGGTGCTGATGACAGACGTATCGTTGACAGACGTGGCGGTGCTGGGTCCCGTCATGCTGCCCAACATCTCGTTGCGCAACTCCATCGCGTTGCTCAGACTCGAGGTACTGGTCTCAAATGTGTTGCTGAAAGACGCCGTGCGTGATGCACCACTCGTCTTACTCGTAGGGGTGAAACTGTTGGAGCTGTACCCCGTCGTACTCGACGTCGTTTCGCTCGATATCATGGTGCTCCGAGCCGTGATGCTCACTGCAGAGCTCGTCTCCCTCGATGTGAGGTTGCTGGTGCTGGATCTCGTCTTGATGCGCATCGTCGTGAGGCTTAGTACCGTCGTACCGCTCACAGTCGAGACGGCGGTCCCTAACGTGCTGCTCAAAGACGCGGAGCTCGTCGCATTGCTCGTCCCACTCGTCAAGTTGAGGCTGTTGGCGCTGGATCCCGTCGCACTGTCCACCGCCGGGGTGCTCACCTCCGCCGCGTTGCCCAGTGTCGAGGCGCTGGTCACAGCCGTGTTGGTGACCGACGCGTTGTTAGATGATTTGTTCGTCTCACTCGTGAGTTTAGGGGCAACGATGGGGGGGACTCGCCGACAGGGGGCCCGATAGCCCCAACCTTTCCAGGAACGTGCAGATTCACTATCAGAAGCCCATCGCCGATCTATCTGCGATGTATCGCCGATTCCAGGTCGATTCGTCCTCCCCTATGCCAGCCCCCCACCCCCTGTCGTTGCCCCGCATGAGTGTGAGTCTGTTGGGGCTGGAGCTCATCGTGCTACTCGGCGTCGTCGTGCTTGAGTTTGTCGTGCGGCACTGTGTCACGATGGCCCCAGATGTGCTGGTCCCAGACGTGGTGCTCACAGCACTGCTCGATGGTGATGGTGATGGTGATGGTGATGGTGATGATGATGATGATGATGATGATGGTGATGGTGATGGTGATGGTGATGGTGATGATGATGATGGTGATGATGATGATGGTGATGGTGATGGTAATGGTGATGGTGATGGTGATGATGATGGTGATGGTGATGATGATGATGATGGTGTCGATGATGTTGATGATGATGATTTTGATGATGATCGTGATGGTGATGATGATGGTGATGGTGATGGTGATGATGATGATGTCGATGATGTTGATGATGATGGTGATGGTGATGGTGATGATGGTGATGATGATAGTCGCCCGATGATGATGATGATGATGGTGATGGTGATGGTGATGGTGATGGTGATGGTGATGGTGATGATGATGATGATGATGGTGATGGTGATGATGGTGATGGTGATGATGGTGATGGTGATGATGATGATGTGATGGTGATGGTGATGGTGATGGTGATGGTGATGATGATGATGGTGATGGTGATGATGATGATGGTGTCGATGATGTTGATGATGATGATGATTTTGATGATGATCGTGATGGTGATGATGATGATGAGTGATGGTGATGATGATGATGTCGATGATGTTGATGATGATGGTGATGGTGATGGTGATGGTGGTGATGATGATAGTCGCCCGATGATGTTGATGATGATGATGTTGCTGATGGTGATGATGGTGATGGTGATGGTGATGGTGATGGTGATGGTGATGATGATGATGATGATGATGATGGTGATGGTGATGGTGATGGTGATGATGATGATGATGGTGATGATGATGATGGTGATGGTGATGGTGATGGTGATGGAAAGGATGATGATGGTGATGGTGATGATGATGATGGTGTCGATGATGTTGATGATGATGATGATTTTGATGATGATCGTGATGGTGATGATGATGATGGTGATGGTGATGATGATGATGTCGATGATGTTGATGATGATGGTGATGGTGATGGTGATGGTGGTGATGATGATAGTCGCCCGATGATGATGATGATGATGATGATGATGATGATGATGTTGCTGATGGTGATGGTGATGGTGATGGTGATGGTGATGGTGATGGTGATGATGGTGATGATGGTGATGGTGATGGTGATGGTGATGGTGATGATGATGATGGTGATGATGATGGTGATGATGATGATGATGTTGATGGTGATGGTGATGGTGATGATGATGATGATGATGATGCTGATGGTGATGGTGATGATGATGATGGTGTCGATGATGTTGATGATGTAATGATTTTGATGATGATCGTCATGGTGATGATGGTGATGGTGATGGTGATGATGATGATGATGATGATGTCGATGATGTTGATGATGATGGTGATGGTGATGGTGATGGTGGTGATGATGATAGTCGCCCGATGATGATGATGATGATGATTATGCTGATGATGGTGATGATGTTGACGATGATGATGATGGTGATGGTGATGGTGGTGATGATGGTGGTGGCCCGATGGTGATGATGATGTTGATAATGATGGTGTCGCTGATGATGATGATGGTAGCCCGATGACGATGCTGATGACGATGATGATGTTGATGATCATGATGATGTTCATGACGATGAGATGATGATGATGAAGATGATGATGGCGTCCAAATGATGGTGATGAGATTGATGATGATGAAGATGATGATGATGATGATGATGATGAGGATGATGGTGTCCCGATGATGATGATGATGACGTTGATGATGATGATGACGATTATGGTGTCCCGATGATGGTGGTCATGATGATGAGGATGATGATGAGGTGATGATGATGATTTCGATGATGGTGGCCCGATGATGCTGATGATGGTGATCATGATGATGAAGTGATGATGGTGTCCTGATGATGATGATGGTGGTGATGATGATGACGATGATGATGGTGTCCCGAGTATGATTATGTTGTTGATGATGATAATGATGGTGCCCCGATGATGATGATGATGATGTTGATGATGTTTTTCTATATGATAATGATGAGATGCCGATGATGATCATGGTGATCTTCCGATGATGATGATGTTGATGATGATGGTGACGACAATGGTATCCCGATGATGATGATGCTGCTGATGATTATGGTGATGATGTTGATGATGATGGTGATGAGGTGGTGATGATAATGATGGTGCCCCGATGATGATGATGATGATGATGCTGATGATGATGATGATGATGTCGATGATGATGATGATGTCGATGATGATGATGATGATGATGATGACGTTGATTGTGAGATTGATTGTGATATCGATAGTGAGATCGATAGTGAGACCCAATGTGAGATCGATTGTGAGATCGATAGTGAGATAGATTGTGAAATCGATAGTCAGATCGATTGTGAGATCGATCGAATGAAATAGATCGAGTGCGATCGATTGTGAGATCGATCGAGTGAGATCGATCGAGCGAGACCGATAGTGAGATCGATAGTGAGATCGATAGTGAGACCGATCGAGTGAGACGTTGGTTCCTCCCCCCCCGAACCTCCTTATCACCCGAAGGGTGGTCGTATAGGTATTAGAAAACCCTGCGCCTCGACATTCACGGGGGACGGGTCCATGCGAATAGATGCACAGATGGGGAGTTCCACGCAGTGAATACTTTAAGGAGAGTGGATGGAGCCTGGTTTGGGCGATTCTGCTTGGGACGTCCTCAAAATCGGCCTGGTTGGGGCCCTGGTTTGACCTGGTTTGGCTCGGTCGGGCGCCGCAGACCGCCTGAGACATCCTCCGAGTTTGCCTGGTTTAGCCCCTGGTTTGGGCCCGGTATCGCTCGAGACGTCCTCGCAAGTTGCCGGGTTGGGGCCCGGTTTCGCTTGCGACGTCCTCGCAATTTGCCTGGTTTGGCTTGGTCTGGGCCCCGTTTCGCTTGAGAAGTCCTCGCCAGCGATGAGACGAGAACCAGGGAGCGGCCGGCGTTCGGGCGAGAGCGCACGTCAACGTCGTCGTAGTCGTCGTCGTCAAAATCATTCGTCGTCGGTCGGCGGCGTCGTCGTGGGGGGGGTGGAGGGGGCGACGCTCCGAGACTCATTGTATGCTGTCGCATGGTGCAGGTATATTCATTCATTCATTCACACATTCACATGGTCACATGGAAACGAAGGATCCATGGCCACAGTGTCACTATTCATTCACACACGTGATGGGCGTATACATTGGGGACGTGGCCCCTTGGTGCTCCCAACACACATTGGGTGTTGTCAATGTGTGTATAACAACGCACTAACATTTCAATCACGTCGTGGGTGCAAACACGCGAAACAGGACCACGCGAAACAGGACGGTGTGTACTGAACACACACACACACATACTGGCCCACATTCCGCACGTTGTGCTACATTAGAACTGAGGCAGGGGGTGTGCACATCCGAAGCGCAGTACGTTTGGCCAGCCACTGCATCGCAATGATCGCTCACACAAATTCTTACCTTATGCGGCATTGGACCATGTGGCGGCGTAAGGAGAAAACCTTTCCCAGTCTGTAGTATATCTATATATATACACATATGTATGTATGTGTATATAGAGATATATGTATGTGAAAATGGTGGGGGAATGTTTGGCTCCAAACCCATACTATGAGGGTTCCAGAACGGGAGCTCATATGCGCAGACTGCCAAGCAAACGAGGGGGAAGGGGAGGAGGAGGGGAAGGAAGAGGGAGGGGAGGAGGAGGAGGAGGAGGAGGAGGAGGAGGAGGACAATAAGGAGGTCCCCTGGTACGCTCGAGGAGGACAATAAGGAGGCGGCATCCCTCGCACCTCGCTCCGCCACCGCCGACGTGGGCGACGAGCACGAAGACGAAGACGGCGGCGACGACAACGACGAGGCATTGGCGGCGGTGGCCCCGCTTGGCGAGTTACGTTCCCGCGGCCGTCGTGGACATCCTCACGGTAATGTACGGGTACATGTTGTTGCGACGGGACATGCAGGGTTTGGCGCGGGGCTCGGACGCGACCTTGCCGCGATGGCAGATTTCTTTGTGGTGGTGGTGGGGGGGGCGGGTGGGCAGAAGGGCCGGGACGAGGGCGCAGCGAGTGCAGGACCAGAGTGGGAATGATGAGCAGAAGGGGAGGCAGGAGGGGGAGGAGGAGGAGGATAGAGGAGGAGGGGTGAAGAGGAGGAGGAGGAGGAAGAGTTGAGGAAGAGTTGAGGAGGAGTTGAGGAGGTGGAACGGCGCCACAGGCGAGGCGCCACACGGCGTTCTTTGCCTGCGCAGAGGAGAAGGGCGAGGTGCAAGGGGACGGAGGAGCGAGGATTGGCGGGGGGGGTCGAGGTGGGGACACCGCCCCCCCCTCCCCATCCTCGCCCCCTGTATCCCCAACCCCATCCCCGCACGTCCATTGCTTACCCCCCCTTTTTCGTCCCGCCTGCCCCATCAACAAGGGCACCATCTGCATACCAGTCGCCTCTCTCCCCCGAAGACGGCACGAGAGTCGCGCCCCCCCCATCCGCGTAGTGTATTCTGCGCACACATACAGGACGGGTCCGACTTGCATTTTTTCCGCGCGTGCGTTTGCAGTCCGGACATTCCGAGTCATTCCAAAACGGCGTTCCAGTGGCAGCGCAGGTATCATTTTAGAAACGGGGTTTGTTCCTGTCGTTGAGAATGGCGGTCTCGCCATAGCGCGAGCCACCCCTTCTTTTTCCCCTCATCCGCCTTCCCCTGGTCATCCTACTCCTCCCGTTCCGTCCATTCCAGTTCCCGCTGTTGCTGCTGCTGCTGCTTCTGCTGCTGCTGCTGCTCCTCGTCCTCGTCTTCCGCCTTCATCCTTCATCCTCCTCCCCCTCCTCCACCTCCGCCTCCGCCTCCTCCTCCTCCTCTTCGTCTTCTTCCATTCCTTTTCCGTATAAACATGTCCTCCCTGTCGCACCACGAGACACGTCGGTAGGGCGGGTTGGGCGATTCGCCGGAGACTTCTTCACCACTAAAGATCCTTCAGCTGAGAACTTGCAGCAGCTTCACGGATGGAGGGCGGGCGGTTTTCAAAATGTGGTTGTCGATTTAGCGCCGCGAGCGTTCTTCTTCTTGACAGTGTGCAAGAGATTCGCGGATGGAGGCGGGCCGTGTTCAACATGTGGTTCTCGCTTTGGCGCCGCGCACATTCGTTTCAAATGTTGAAAGAGCGTCGCGGATGGGGGGTGGGTCGTTTTCAAATGGTGGTTCTCGCTTCAGCGCCGTGCGCATTCGCAGTCAACAATGCAGGATATTCACAGATGGAGGCCGGGGGGTTTTCAAAATGCGGTTCTCGCCTCAGCGTCTTTACGTTTGAAAGAGGTTCACGGAACGATGGCGGTATGTGGTTCAAAATGGTGTATTCGCCGCACACATTCGGCCCAGGAGTATACAAAGTGTAAAGGATCATTATGTTTGTCGTCCCCATGTTGTGGCACGTGTAGGACAGTCGGGGCGCAACAGTTACGTGAATTTGCGGTTTTAAAGTCCCAGGGATTGTGCTCTGGCACGAGTCAGGATCGTCTGGGCGCAACAGGAAGGTTGATTCGTGTCGACGGAGTCCCACAAATGGTGTGTTGGCACTGTTCAGAATTTTCAAGCGGTTGCCTTCCAACGCAGCACATCCCTCAGTGAAAAGTCTTGTTCGTAACTTTTGAAGAGTTCATTTGGAGGGAAGGTTTATTGCATCATCGTTGATGAGTCTTGGGCTTGCATTGGTTATCCTCCCCCTCCTTTTCTTCCTGCTCACCTCCTGTTCATCCACCATTCCTGTGTACCCATCCCAATTTCCGATTGCGCATAACACGCTGGGATCTTTGGGGGTATTCCAGGTCCGCTATGGTACGCGTCTGCGGATACAGACACATCAGCCCACTTGGAAAGGACGGGTGGGAGGTGTAGGATGTCATATGTATCAGTTGTGGCGCGGGCGCCCCCTCTCCCCTTCCTCTCCATCTCCCTCATCCCCGGCGCCTCCCATCCCCCTCTCCTCCCTATCCTTCCCTGTCCTCCTCTCCTCCCTCCCCCTTATCAGCCCTCAAGCACACGTGGCTCCGTCCATTCCGTAGGCCCCCTTTTGGCTTATCGCTTGGACATGAGTCGCACCTCGATGCCTCAACGTGGCGCTTGAGTGGCAACGCGTCTCCTGGGCCGCGTGCGCAGTCGATCGCGTTGGCTAAATCGAGGTAAACAGTTTCAGCAAAAGGATTCAGCGCTTATGACTTGTACTTTGCTAGTGTTGATCTTGCCTCCTGTTGTTGGTACGCATCCTGAGCGCATCGGCTCCTGTCATCCTCATCTGCAGGACTGGAGTCGGCGCATACGGTGTGCAGAGTTGGGGTGCCCTGGCGATGATGTACAGAATGCGGGAGCAGAAGGTTGTGCCGACCGTCATCAGCTACAACGCTCTCTCCAGCACGTGCGAGAAGGGCAATCAGAGGCAGCGGATTCTCGCTGCAGAGCCAGATGGGTAGGCGCGAGGCCGACTGCATCAGCTATAATGCTCGGATCAGCGCGTGCGAGAATAACGTCTGGTGGCAGCAGGCAGGCAGGTGGGAGCAAGTCGCGGCCCGTCGGCGCATTCTCATTTTCAGTGTTGTCATGGGCCAGCGGCAGCAAAGGACAGTTGCTGCAGCATTTGAATTCGTATTTCAATATTCTAGCTGTCACTGCGTGGCGATTCCCTGGTTCGTGGGATGGGGACGTGCCGGCCGTCCGTATTCTGAGCCGTGCCTTTGGTGGTGGCGTTGGTATTCAGCCTTTCACTGTCTGCTTGGATGGGGACGTGCCGGCCGCCCGTACTCTGAGCCGTGCATCAACGGATGGCTGTTTCAATGGATTGGATTAGACGTGCCATGCTACAACACTGCGGTCAAGTGTGCTTGGCCAGTTGGTTCACAGTTTACCCCGCTCATCGCGCAGAGTGTCTCGGTGGGCAAGCAGGTCTGGGGCTCCAGATGTTGGTGGTTCCTCTTCTGATCGACTGGGGCGAGGCGGTCTGTGGGCGAGGCGAGCTCCTGCCTTATGGGGAGTTAGCCCAGTGATCGACAGCGTTGCTTCGGCGGCACGGCTAGGGCCTCATAGAGTGAAACTCACTTCAGCGGTCATATCAGTGCGGAGGCATTTCAACGGTTCTGTCTCAGGTCTTTTTTCAAGTGGCGCCTTCTTGGTGGATGGGAGAAGGAATGAACTCATTTGTGTTGTCACGCGTCGTGAATTGATTTCGTGCGCAGTTGGCGGCTCTCAATGAGGAGGGATTCATCCGAGGTATCATCCGCGCTCCTCGGACTTCTTCGTCTTACGTAGTTGGTGCTGGTTCCTGTTCTACGCCTTCTGGTTCGTCTGCTTCAATTTCGAGCTCAGAGGGGAGTAGCCCGATTCAACCCGAGCAATGGCTCAGGTGGTGGTCGGGTGCCGTTCACTTCGCTTCGCGATCGGTCCTATCCTATCCTATCCTCCCCCTTATCAGCCCTCCTCCACCCTCACTGCCCCTCGCTGTTCCGTTTCCCTCATCCCCCTCTTCGCATCCTCCATCATCCCTCTCTCTCCCACCCTGCTCCCTCCCTCCCTCCTCTCTTTATCCTCCGTCCCTTCCCCCTCCATCCGCAGAGGGTCGCCTCACTCGAATTTGACCAGTGACACAGGGCTCGATCCCATTGCGCATGCAGGTGGTTCACCCGATGGGCGATGAGAAGGCAGCCCCTGGACATCCATGGGGGCCCATTCTTCTCCCGTTCCTCCTCTATCATCTTTTCTACCCCTCCTCCGCCTCGTCCTCCTCCGCCTCGTCCTCCTTCTTCTCCTCCTCCTCCTCCTCCTCCTCCTCCTCCTCCTCCTCCTCCTCCTCCTCCTCCTCCTCCTCCTCCTCTTCCCCCCCCCCCCCACATCTTCACTGTCCCCATCCTCCTCCTCCTCCCCCTCCTCTTCCTCCTCCTCCTCCCGCTCCTCCTCCTCCTCCTCCCCCTCCTCCCCCTCCTGCTCCTGCTCCTCCTCCTCCTTTCCTCCCCTCCTCCTCCTCATCGTCCCTGCTCGCTCCTCGCGGCGGCGAGCGAGCGCCACCAAGGCGCAGGGCCTGCCGGCCTTCACATTGATCGCAGGAGCGGGGGGGGGGCAGAGGAATCGCCGCTTCCCTGTCCAAGGGGCGCGGGGGAGGCGGGAAGGACGAAGAGGGGGGAGCGAGGTGGAATGAATAAGAGGAGCGATGAGCGAGGAGGAGGAGGATGATACGTAAGGATGGGCAGGAGAAGGAGGAAGAGGAGGTGGAGGAGGAGGAGGAGGAGGAGGAGGAGTGAGGTGCAGCGAGTCGTGAGACGAAGAATGGCTGAGCGAGAAGGATGAGGACTGTGAGGAGGATTCGCGAGGAGCGAGAAGGAGAGTGAGCGAGGAGGCAGCGGGAGGAGCGAGGCGCGTGGAGCGAGGACGGGTCAGGAGGGATAAGTCAGAGGGAAGAAGAGGCGGAGGATGAGGATTAGAAGAAGGAACATTTGCATGTGGGAGATGCCGCGCGCGGTCCCGCTTACAGCGGGCCGCGCATCTGCGGGAACGGAACTTCAGAAAGTCTTTGCGCGGCGCTGTGGCAAGACCACCAGTGGGCCCTTCTCTTTGGCGGCCAGTTGCCCGATCAGCGTGGCGAAGGCGAAACCTGCGCCGAGCCGGAACAGCACTGCCACCTTCACAGGCAAATTGCACGACACTTTGGGCGAGGACACGCTGTCGCCCGCTCCGACGCGCCCCCCCACCACCTCTGCCGCTTTTGAGGTTCGGCGAGCGCCGCGCCCACGCCAGAGCGCCACGGAGCCTTCGCGAGGTGGACACGTCGGCGGCCCCGACCCCCAACGGCATCGCGCGGGAGAAAGATGCCCGCTCCGGGGATGCCTGAATGGGCTCTGGGAGAGGAGCTGGCGTGGCCGTGCCTGCCAGCTTCTGAACCTGTGCATTCACCTTGTGTAGTCCAAGACCCGGATAGCAGGGCGCCCTGGGGACGTGGGCGTCGCGTATTGGGGGGATCATAGATGGGGGGGTGGCGAGGGCGGTCTGAAAAGGTACCCAAACGATACCTAAACGAGCCCCTTGGGGCTCCCGAGGGGCACGAAAGGGGACCGCTTCTGACCCCCCATTTATGACCCATCCCCATTGAGTCACGCCCCAGGGACGTGGAGACGCTGGCGAAGCACTCTGGAGAGACCTCGGGAGAGCTTCCAACAAAGGACCTTCTGGAGCCTCCTCCTCGTCCTCCTCCTCCTCCTCCGCCTCCTCCTCCTCCTCCCTGCTCGCTCCTCCTCCCTCCTCCCCCCTCCCCTCCCTCCCTCCCTCCCTCCTCCCTCCCTCCCCCCCTCCCCCCTCCCCCCTCCCTCCCTCCCCTCCTCCTCCTCCTCCTCTCCTCCTCCTTCTCCTCCTCCTCCTCCTCCTCCTCCTCCTCTTCCTCCTCCTCTCCTCCCCCTCCTCCTCCTCCTCCTCCCCCTTCTCCTCCTCCCCTCCTCATCATCATCATCATCATCATCATCATCACTCCTCCCGCTCCTGCCCGCTCCGCTCCTGCCACGATTCTTCCGCGGCGACGGCAACACGTCCATGTTGAGGGGGGAACCGTTGACTTCGTACTGCTAAGGCCTTACGGCCGGAGCCGCCAACCCTGGAAGCCTCGGCCCTCGACGGAAATGGGAGGGAGAGGGAGGGCCCGGGAGGGTGGCCTTCTGACCTCGTTCTTCGGCGGCGGCGGCGGCGGCAGAGCGTCCATGTTGCAGGGAGAAGTGTTGACTTTGTATGTTTTTGTTGGCGGGTACGCTGGACCCTCCCAGAGGTGGGGGCTCTCGGCCAGCTGGGTGGCAGAGTGGGAGTACGTATGTACATCTCATATATAGTTATATGTACAGGTCGAGCGAGCCAGAGGGCCCCGCCTATTCCGACCCCCCCTCCTATAGCACAGGGACCCCAGTGCGGCACAGTCTGAGATTGGGCTTCGAGTGCGCTCCCACCTCGCAAACGGAAGGCGCTCGTGCGCGGCCCAGTTTCCGACGGCTTGGCGAAGGGAGAATACAGCGGGCCGCGAAGGGGCGCGAGCGGCTAAAGTTCCGCCGGACCCGGCGAAGGCGAAGCACGCGCCGCTCTGACGCAGCGTTGCCCTTTTCGTTCGCAAGGTGCGCGACACTTGAGCGAGGTCGGCGCTGAGGTCGGCATCCTGCGTTCGCGCGGCCCTGCAAACCGCTGTCACCATCATTCGACTCGGCGAATAAGCCACCTGCCGCGCCCGCGCGGGAGCGCCACTTCCGAGCGGAATGCGCACGGAGCTCGGGACACGGCGACACGTCGCCCACTCGCGCGGGGCCAAACTCGCGAGTCCAAGTAATGCGCCGCGCCGCGTCTAGGCGGGAGCGCCGCTTTCAGGCGAAGTCCCCGCGGCGCCGAGGCGAGAGTGACATTTTCGTCCGGCCGCGCGTCGACGAAGTGGCGCGCGAAAATCGGCTTGTCGCGCGGGGTGCGCATGTTGTATCGTCGACAGCAGAACGCTCATGTTGAGACAAAGACGTTGACTTGTGTTGTGATGACAGGTAAGATGGGACCAACCAGATACGATTCCAGTCGGCTGGTTAGGTGAAGGTGAAGGGGCATATACCGACAAGGAAACATGATCGAAACCGAGTGCCCCAGCCAGCACACCAGCCAGCCCAACCAGCCCAACCAGCCCAACCAGCCCTCCCGCAGACCTGCCAAGCAGCCCAACCAGCCCAACCCGCCATCACGCAAACCCGCCTACCCCAGCCACCTGCCTTCCGTCACCACTGAGGGAGGCGGGGGGGAAGTGTTTCTTGCCCAGCCAGTGCAGCTGTGAACCGCCTTCCGGGGACCAGGTTGGCAGCCGAAGGTGGCCACGGCCTCTTCGGCGGGCGCCCCGGGCACGGTCGGAGGCGCCGAATGCGATATTGTTGTCGCTTGCCGCGCTGCCCAACATCCACGCTCTCGACGGAAAAGTTCCCATCCCAGGAACGGTCTTCATGTTTCAGGCCCCCAGGGTCCACGCAGGGGACGTCCGAAGGGCCCCCAGCCACCGTCGAGGCAATCCCCCCAGGCAGCACACCAGCCAGCCCAGCCAGCCCCCCCGCAAACCCGCCGGACAGCCCAACCAGCCCAACCCGCCACCACGCCAGCCCGCCTCCCTTCCGTCGCCAGTGGCGCCCCGCAGAGCAGGGACGCGGGGAGCGGAGCGGGGTGCTCGGGGCGCTCGCGAGCCGTGGCCCCTGGAGGCGCTAGGTGCCCGTGTTCCCAGAGTCGTCCACGATTGGACGTGAGCGAAAGCCAGAAGGGCTACGGCTATGGAGCGAATGTGGAGGAGGAGGAGGAGGAGGAGGAGGAGGAGGAGGAGGAGCAGCAGGCGAAGGTGAAGGGGGAGGAGGAGGCAGGAGGCAGGAGGAGGAGGAGGAGGAGAAGGAAGGAGGAGGCAGAGGAGGAGGCGGAGGAGGACGAGAAGAAGAAGGAGGCCAAGGAGAAGGATCAAGGGAGCAGGAGCAGGTGCAGGGGCATGCGGGAAACTACGAGGACGAGGAGGAGGATGAGGAAACAGGCGGAACGAAAGAAGCAGGGAGGAGAGGATGGAGGACGCGAGAGGGGAGACAGCATACATCAAATTATACAAAAAGTATCAGTTTGATAATATTGGCGTGAATATTCGCGAGGGGCGTTAAAGGGTGGTGGTGGTCGTGGTGATGATGGTGATGATGGTGATTAGGGTGATGGTGGTGGTGTCGATGATGGTGTTGTTGATGTTGTTGATGATCATAGTGATGATGATGGTGATGATGATTTTGTTGGTGGTGGTGGTGGTGGTGGTGGTGGTGGTGGTGGTGGTGGTGACGGTGGTGGTGGTGGTGGTGGTGGTGGTGGTGACGGTGACGGTGACGGTGACGGTGACGGTGATGGTGATGGTGATGGTGATGGTGGTGATGGTGATGGTGATAGTGATGGTGATAATGATTGTGATGATGATAATGCTGATTATGACGATGCTGCTGAAGATGGTGGTGTTGATGATGACGATGGTGATGATAATGAGATTGATCATGCTGATGATGCGATGGTGCTGATGATGCTGATGACGGTGGTGACGATGTTGTTGATGCTTGTGGTGGTGGTGGTGGTGGTGGTGGTGGTGGTGGTGGTGGTGGTGGTGATGGTGGTGGTGGTGGTGAAAGTGGGGGTGATTAAGAGACCACCACAGCAGGAAAATGATGATATGGGGGAGGGGGACCACAATGAAGAAGGAGATGTGTTAGAGGCCGATTTGATTGTGGGTCCCAACGCTTTTTGGGAGGACCAAGCACGAAGAAATGGTTGCCCTCCTGGAATTCGGTGGATGTCTGCCCCCACCGTGAGAGAGGGGGAGTTTCCTTGCATCGTTCTTGACGATTCGTGGATCGAGTTCTCGCTCCGCACAGAAAGGGTGCGTGCGTGCCTGCACAGCCGAGCCCTGGCTTGAAGCTCCACTCGGGGGGGCTAACAAGACAAGACACGAGTGTCCGCCGGCAGGCGGGCCCCTGAGGAGCGGCGTGGGCGGGCCGGGGCCCGTTCAGATGTGCGCGTGCGCGAGGTAGTGCTTCTCCCAGTTGTTCCACAATGTCCAGTCGTCAGCGAAATCCAACCACGTTGTGGTATTGTCTCCAGTGGTAGATCGTACACACTGTGATATGTCGTCGTGCCACCTCTTTCGCTGCCTTCCCTGTCTGCGTATCGCTGGTCTGGTGTCGTGGACGTCGGGCTCCCACGCTGCAGCAAGTTTGCTCCATCTGTGGTGAGGTTGCTCTGCGACTCGCCCTGCCCATCGCCATCTGCGCTTGTGGTAAAGGGTCGTCCAGTCGTCTACCTTGAAGCGTTTTGCTAATTCTTCAGCTGTGTGCCACACAGCTCTTCGAATGAAATCCTCCCACGGTTCTAGGACGGAGCCGTCATCGACGACGTCGCGGTGAGGTTGTACTTTGGCGTCGTTGCTGCTCGTGCTGTCGCTTGAGCTCGTGCTGCCGTCGCGCTCATTGCTGGTGCTCGGCGCCTGGGCGTGTTCACGATGAGTCGCAGCATGCGTCGTTGGGTGCGTCGCAGTGTCAAAAGTATGTCCTTGGTGAGGGTCCACGAGGTGCAACCATACAACACGCGTGGCGTCACCGTGCCATTGAATAGCCAGAGTCTGCTGTGCAAGGGGTACCGTTTGCTAATCAGCTCGTCGCGGAGTTGGTGGAACTTCCACCATCCCACGGCAATTCAGTTGGAGAGCTCAGCGCAGTGGTAGTCGTGTATGTCGGAGCTGAGAATTTCGTCGCTATCACCGTCGATGTCGGCGTGTGTCGTCGTTCGTCCGTGCTGTCGGCTCGTATGTGTAAGGATTTTGGTTTCGTCTGTGTGTAACTCTAGTCCGCATGCGGAGGCCGCGTGCTTGAGGTCACGTAGGATGCACGTTAGTTGTCGCAAATTGGGCGCCAAAAGCAGGACGTCATCAGCAAACCGTAAATTGGTCAGACGAGTAGCCCTCGCGTGCCCCATTTGCATGCCAAAACCTTTTTTGTTCCAAACAGACTTGGTTTTCCGGAACACGTGCTCGGTCATTGCGTTGAAAAGGTAAGAGTTGAGTGGGTCACTTTGCTTGACGCCGCGCTCGATGTTGAAGTATTTGTTGTTGATGGCGGTCCTCACTGTGGCCGTCTGCTCGCTGTAGAATTTCTGTAGCAATGTGATGTATGGCGTTGGGCACCTCTGTTCCCGTAGTGCTTCCCACAAGCATTGATGGTCGACGCCGTCAGATGCTTTTTTGAAGTCTATCGCAGCTTCCCACAATGTGAGTTACCATTCGTATGACTGTTCAAACAGCATGGTTGTCGTGAAGAGGTGGCCCTCTGTGCTGAAGTTCCTCCGACAGCCAGCTTGGTCTGGTGATTTCTGGGAGTCGAAGAGTGTCTCTGGGCGGTTGCTGGGTAATCGGGACATGAGCTTGTACAGCAGCGGTATGATTGCGACTGGCGTGTAGTTTGTTGGGTCTAGTGGGTCACCAGACCTGAAGATGACGCTGCTTGTGGTACGCCTCCATTGGTCAGGTCAGGAGGTGTCTGTTCTGGTGCTAGTACGTCGTTGAACAGCTTTAGCAAGCGATTCTCTATGATAACGCCCCCAGCGTTCAGAAGCTCCGCGGTGAGGCCAGCTGTGTATGTGCACTTCCATGTTTGATGAGTTGCTTCACCGCTTGATGTAACTCCTCTTCGGTGATTGGTGGAATGCTCTGTTCCGTATTGCCTGTCGTTATGTTTTGTTCGTTGGTCGGTCTCGTTTGTGTCGGGGATGTTGTCGTTGGGGAACGTCGGTGCAATTTCTCGTAGAAGTCCGCGAAGATGTCTGCGATCCCCTGGCGGTCGGTTTCGTCGGTGCCGCCCGCCGTCGTCATGGCTGGAATCAAGTATTGTTTCTTATTGAACTTGATCCCAGATATTTTGTGGAGGCCGCGAAAACTAGTAACAAAATCACTGCGTGGTGTCGTGTTTTTGTTGAGGGCCCGGCGCTGTCGTTGGATGCGTTTATTGAGAGTTGTTTTGGTGGTTGTGTCACTGTGCGGTGTGTCCCTGCGTTGCCGTATGAGTATCTGCAATTGTTGCGTGGCCTCGTCGTCGTCGTCGTATGCGTCGTGAGTCTGTTGGCGCTGGTCGTGGTCTTTTTGCTGTTGGTACTCTTCGTGCGCTGCTCTGAGTGATTGTTCAGTGCGAGTGAATGCGTCTTGCACGTCGCATGGCGTCGCATGGCACGTTGATGGAGAGGAGGAGGAGGTGGCAAAGAAGCAGGAGAAGGAGAGGGTGGGGGGAATGTGGAGGAGGGCGACCAACGGCGGTCAGGACAAATGAGGAGGAGGACAAGAAAGGATGACCTGGGGAGGAGGAGGAGGAGCGAGGAGGGGAACGAGCAGGACGGGGGAAATGAGTCACGGGTCCAGAGCGAGGAAGACGATGAAGGGGGCCGAGGGGGACGAGGAGAAGGAAGCGGATGACCAGATTACACCCCTCTTCGCACGTCCTTGCGAGGTTCTGCTCGCTGCAAGAGGCGCCCCTTTCGAAAAGACCAGCGCAGTTGGGGCTGGCATTTGGCGGGAACCCAGCTGCGAAAAGGAATTGGCCCGCAGCCTTCATCATCAGGGGCGCACGAACACAGTGTCGTACGGCTCCACGAGGTGTGGCATCCCCCCTTTCGATATGAGGATTGCCCACCACGCGTGCAACTGCTGCACAGGCTTGCACGTGTGGCCATACGCTGCGAAGGCGTCTCGGCCTGCAGCCGTCTGTAACATCATCAGGGGCGCACGAGCATAGTGTCGTACGGCTCTACGAGGTGTGGTATCCCCTTTCGATATGAGGATTGCCCCCCCCCCATCCGTGCAACTGCTGCACAGGCCTGCACGTGTGGCCATGCCCTGCGAAGGCGTCTCGGGCGAGAGCTCCGTCTTGAAGAAGGAGGCGCCCTGGAGCCGTACAGTCGGTGCCACACATGTTTGATGGGCCTGTTTCCACCACCACCAGCACAAGTTGGAGGGGGAGGGGGTCCTCCTCCTCGTCCTCCTCCCTCCTCCTCCTCCTCCTCTTCGCCCTCCTCCTCCTCGTCCTCCACCTCCTCCCCCCATCCAACTTATGGCGGTGGTGGTGGAGAACAGGCCCATCAATGTTGGAAGTGCGGGCCTGACACATGAACGAGGAGTCTGGAGCGAGGACCCCAATCTGGGAAAGAGGACCCCCGCACGAATCGGCGGCGAGCTAAGGGGGGAAGTCAGCAGGAGAGGGCTGTCTCCGAAGGCGGGGGGGAGACTTCTCAGAAACCCTCGCGCCTTCTGAGAAGCTCTCTGTGTCTTCGGGGAAGGCTCAGAAAACTTGTCAGAAGGCCGTGAAACTTCCGAGCCTTCTGAGAAGGCCCGCCCGTTCTCACTTCCCCGCCGGGCTCGCCGCCGAGCGAATGTGCCCGGCGTTGATGCCTCGATCCTTCTAACGATTCCAGGATGAGAAAAGGATTGCGCGCGGCGTTAAGGCAAGAGAAACATCATCTTGAGCACGGTCCTATTTCATCCCTGATCCTGTTGCAAATTTTTACGACGAAAGCTTGTGGCGCTCAGTCGAGATCACCACTGTGAGAGCGACTTGTGCTGCATCTGTTTGACTTAACAGTTGCAACATGTTGAAACGACTGCGCGCGGCGCTCAGGCGAGAGCACCATTGTGAAAACGACTTGCGCTCTTTGCTTGCAAGTCAATACGGTGAAGCGAGTGCGCGTGGCGCCCAGGCGAGAGCACGATGTTGCAAACTTGTACGAACAGTGTTCGCGGCGCTGAGGCGAGAGCACCATTGTGGAAGCGATATGTGTTCCGCCCTTGCACCTGCTGCAGGATGTTGAAGCGAATGTGCGCGGCGCTCCGTTGAGAGCCAAACCTTGAAAAGGACCCGCCATGCATCTTCCATGTTGTTGCAAGTTGTTAAGGCTTATGTGTTTGGCGCCAGGGCGAGAGCCACATTTGTTGCCCACCACCCCCACCTCCATCCTTGAACCTTTCGCCAACGTGTAAAACTAATGTGCGCGGCGCTACGTCGAAAGCCATAATTTGAAAACGACCCGTGCTCCATCCTTGAAGATCTTGCATTATTTTACAACGGAAGCGCGCTGGACTGAGACGAGAGCGACACGTTGAAGACCACTCGTCCTCCCTCTTGGAAGCTGTTGCAAAATGCAGGGTTCGGGACCACGAGTGGGGAGGAAGTCTTACGTGAAACGCCTCGCACGCCCTACCGACCCGTCTAGGGGTGCGGCAGGGAGGAGCTGCTCAAAGGGGTGAAGGATGGAGGAGCAGAGAGCAGGGAGGACGACGACGATCCAGAGGGGAGGGGAGGAGGAGGGGGAGCAGCAGGAGGAGGCTGGAGAGCCCGCCTCAGGACTCGACTGCGCGCTGCAGGTCATCACCCTGATGCAGGTGCTCACCGTGGCGCCGGGCGCCAGGTACTTCCTGGCGGACGCGTGCCCGTTGGACGTGACGCAGGTCCGCCGCACAGCTCGCGTGCCGCCGCCGCCGCCGTCGACCGATCGAGAGTCGAAGCTCGATGATCGAGATTCCCAGATCTCCGACGATATGTGTTATTCCCAACCATGCTGTGGTGTTGGGCCCTCGTTTTGAAGAGATGGCGCCCCGCGTCCCTCCCTCCCTCCCGCCTCCTCCCGCTCATCCCTCCTCCCCCTCCTCCCTCCCCCACCATCATCCTCATCATCATCCTCATCATCATCATCATCATCATCATCATCATCATCATCATCCTCATCCTCATCCTCATCCTCATCCTCATCATCATCATCATCATCATCATCATCATCATCATCATCATCATCCTCATCCTCATCATCGTCATCGTCATCGTCATCATCATCATCAGCATCAGCATCAGCATCATCATCATCTTCATCATCATCATCCCATCATCCCATCATCCCATCATGTCGCAATCGTCCCCCATGCGATCCCCCCACCCATGTCGCCACATCCGTCAAACGCTTCGTGGTCTCATAAGGAGCTCCACCGAAGGTCCCAGTGGCGGAGCCAGCAGCGTCTCCCCCACCCAGTACAGCGGTTCGTCGCCCCATAGGGAGCTCCACCGGAGGTCGGAGGTCCCAGTGGCGGAACTCGCATGCGATCCCCCCACCCAGTACAGCGCTCCACTGCCCCATAGGGAGACCGAAGGCCTTCGTGGCGGAAGTCGCATACGGTTCCTTCACCCAGTACAGCGCTCCATTGCCCCATAGGGAGTTCCACCGAAGGCCCCAGTGGCGGAAGTCGCATACTGCTCCTTAACCCAGGCTGCGTTTTCGTGGCCCCATAGGGAGCTCCACCGAAGGCCCCAGTGTCGTAATGCACGCGTCTTCCCCGCCCAGTACAGCAATTCGTGGCCCCAGGGGAAGCTCCACCGAAGGCGCCAGTGGCAAAGTTTGTATGCGTCTCCCCCACCCAGTACATCGTTTCGTGGCCCATTGGGACTTCCACCGAAGACGATGCCCACAACCTCGGTACTCACAACTGCAGATGGTTGGGCAGTTCAGACAAATTTTCAATCTGGGCGTTTGTCCTGAGGGCCTTCGGGGGCCATCTTGGAGGTCATCGATTGAAAAGGTGGGCGGCGTTAATTGGAGTCCCCCATGTCGGAGCCCGAACATTCGCTTCTTGGGGCCGTCTTGGGGCGATCTTGGGACCGTCATGTAGCCCTTCTGTGCCTTTCTTAAGGCTCTCTTGGACGATCTTGGAGCCGCCTTGAGTCCAGAGTAGCCCACTAGATGCAAAACGGCAGAGCGAGAAGGTATTGCACCGTATTGGAGGCCATCTCGGACGTGAACGCTTTAACTGGTCGCCTGCGCGAATTCTTCTGTTATTCAGTGACAGGTTCAGCTCAGGGGTTGTGGACATCTCCGATCCTTCTGTCACCACAGTTGGTACAGGATCTGGCTTGAATAAGGAGCACTTCCTTTTCAAAAGGGGCTCGGTCGTTCCTTTGGTTTGCACGCGTCGGGATTCGGTCGTTCCTTGTCAAAAGGCGCTCGGTCGTTCCTCGGCGAGCCTCCTGGTCAAAAGGTGTTCCTTGGAAACGAAAAGGGTGTTCATCGGTCTCCAGGTCAGGCCGAATCCTGCAGCGGAGCGGGGTCCGGCCCGAAGGGCCCGGGGCGCCCGGCGGCGGCAGCTCCGAGCAGGGCAGCCTGGCGAGCGGGCGCGCACCTGGGGCCGCGGCGCTGCTCCAGCGGCGGAGCGGCGGAGGGCTCCGCGAGTCGTGGCTGGTCGGGCGAAGAAGCAGGGCGCCGAGGCCGAGGCCAGCGCTTCCGGCGAGGGGGCGCCGGCTCCAGCGAGCCGAGACACGCCGCTGGACAGCCGGAGGCCGGCCTGAGTCAGGAGGGGAGAAGCACACAGACACAATGAATCGTCGATTCCCCGGAAAATGTGGGGAAATATGGGAAGTGGGGGGGGAAGACGAAAACCCAGAAAATATGGGAAAATATGGAGAATCTTGCTATTTGTGTCTATTTATTTGCGTGTCCCAGGGCCCCTTCATATAGTCAGGGAACTATGTCCTCAGGTCAGGACGCGCGGGCAGCAGGACAGGAGGAGAGGACCTGGTCAGGTTGGAACGACAGCCGACGCCGAGGCCGACCCCAGGGACGACCTGGAGCATGACCCGGGGCACATCGAGGGCGGCGGCAAGGCGGCAGCGGCAGAGGCCGGCGCGGGCACTCACGGCAAGGAACAGCAAGCTGGGGGGCCGGCGGCTGGGCCGAAGGCCGCTGGGGCAGCCAAGGTTGGCAGCCGAGAGGCTGGCCAGGCGCCCGTGGCGACTGCTCTGATCCACCTGCCTGGCCAGGGAGGACGCACTACAAGCCACTTCATTCAAACAGTGGTACAAAGCACTGCGCCGCTGGAACACCAACACGGATGTCCCCGCGTGGCGCAGGAGTACAACATGAAGAAGTCGTTGTCGTCGTTGCAATCGTAGTCGTGATCGTGATCTTTGCCATAGTCGCAAGCGTCGTCGTTGCGGCGGAGGTCCTTTTCCCTTTGCTGTTGGGCGGGTTGGATCGTGTTGGGGGGCTCTTTCTCCCAGGGGATAGTGCCCCCTGGGCAACCCTGCACGACAGGATTTTCGAGCACGTTTGCAAGAGGACTGCAAAACAGATCGGCACACTCTTCGCCGAAGGCTTTGCTTACAATCTTTCTGAGGATGGAGCTTCTGAGGATGGAGTTTCTGAGGGCCCGCGTGGGGCCTTGAGCTTCAGCAGTCCTTCTCAGCATGGAGCTTTCAGGATAAATCTTCCGAGGACCAAATTTCTGAGCCACGATTTTCCATGAGAGCGCTCCTGAAGCAGTCGTACGAGTAGTCGTCGTAGTCGTAGTCGCAATCGTAGACGTAGTTCTCGGCGTCGTCGCGGGGAACAACATATTGTTTCTTTTATTGGTGGGGCACCAGTCGGTGAAGAAGGCCGCCGGACAGATAATTAGTTACCCTTTTGTTCGGGGTGTGAAGACCCCTCGAGGTTAGTACATGTGTATATGGTGCTGCATGTGTGTATGCATGTATGCATGCATGCATGCATGTATGCATGCATGTATGTATGTATGTGTGTATGTATATGTGTGTGTATGATTGTAGGTATGTGTATGTGTACGTGTATGTGCACCCAGTTATCTATATAGACAGATATGCATACACACATTTATATTTACGTATAAAAGAAAATACAGATCTGTATGTGCATATCATGGATAGGTGTCTCACTAGTCCGCCGCCTCCTCATCATCATCCTTTCCCTATTCCTCCTCCTCCTCCTCCTCCTCCTCCTCCTCCTCTTCCTCCAAGCCTTCGGCCTCATGGTGCGCCGCGCATATCCTGTTAGACGCTTGCGCGAATCACGACCATCTGGACGTCATGGACCTCGTGGGTAATGCATGGGCGGACTGGTTCGCCAAAGTCGGGGCGCTAGACCACAAGCTGCCCGACACCCTGGCGGACCTGTTCAAGGTCAAGCTCGCGGACGCCCGCGAAGAGGCCTCGGTGTTTGCCTGGCGGCAGGCCGCCTTGGGCGCGCTGTCCGATGAGGCGCGTGCGCTGGTCGAGCGCACGTGCCGCCCTGGCGTTGCTGTCGCCCCCGCGCAGGTGATGTGCGGCCGCCACCGCATCCAGCGCCGCCCGACAGGCTGGCAGTGTGTAGATTGCCTCGCGCGCGCGCGCAGCCACCGACGCTGCGAAGACGAGGCTGGAACGCAGCGAGTGCGCGCCCTCGGCCTTGCAGCAACATGTGGCGCGTGCGCGCGCCCGTCTCCCAGCCTCGTCCTCTGCCTCCCTCGCGTCCGCGTCGGCGCCTCCGCACACGGCCCGCGAGGAGGCCATAGCAATCGCCGTCGAGGCGGCGGATCGCTTCCCCGGTCCCGAGGGGCATGGCCATCCTGGGCCCGCGGCTGCGAGACCATGGACTCCCGCGCCCTCCACCCAGAGGTGCAATCGCGCTTAAAGTAAAGGGAGCGTTTATTTTTGGCTAAGTTCATTAATTTAAACGCCAACGCTTGTTTGAGTCAAACATATGTTGTAGTAAATCGAAATGATTCGCGATGCGCATGTTCAGCGCAACTTTTGATGTGCGTCGTAGTGTTTTCGTGCGTCCGCGCCAGCGTCAGCGTGTCTGTCGCCACTAATTGGTTGCGTTGTGGTTTGAATTGCAGCGATGGTTGCATGCATAGGCTGCGTCGGAACCGTCGCTGCGCAGGCACGGCGGAGTGGATGGGGGCACGTGATCATCCGTGCACGGAGCATAACTCTCTGTGCACGCGGCCGCGGGAAATTAAACGTCGTATATGGTTTTAAAGGGAACAGGTTTTGGCGCGGTGTCCCGCATATAATTAACGGAAACAGGTTCAGCGTCAGCTGCATCGTGCAAGCGCATCCAGCAAAAGCAGGCGACATAAATTTGAATCACGCCCTGTCGTTGTTATTGTGCGTTCTTGTCGTGCCAATCCTTTTCATTATTGTGATATCCCTCTCTCTACTTATATGTAGATCTCTATGTTATCATTATCTCTCTCTCTCTCTCTCTCCCTCTCTCTCTCTCTTTCTTTCTCTTCGCTCCATCATGCCTTGCTCTCTCTCTCTCTCTCTATGTGCCCCGCTTAGGTTATGGTTTGTTCCCTCTCTTTCCCTCTCTCTCTCTCTCACACGCTCCTTGCATCACCGACGCTCGATGCATTTCCATCGTTCTCCGAACAGCGCTTGCACTTGGAAGATGCCACCCCTGGCTTCGGCAACTCAGTTCCGTTGGCGGTTCAACCACTGCCTGGTCACCATCTGCCTGCATTTTGGGTGTTGTTGCCCCTCCCCCCCCCGCGCTGCGGTTGCCATCGTTGTTTTGTTTCCGCCCTTCTTGTCTGAACCCCACGTTCGGGCCAGTGCCCTGGCGGTCGCCGTCGCCGCCCGTCGCCGTCGCACCGCGGCCCTTACCCCCGATTGCGCCGCAAAGGCACGACATGAATTTCAACGGCTTGCCATTCTATCGCGGGTCACTCTTCTACAATGTACTCATCGGTTGCGCCACATAGATTGCGCCACACATACGTTCGAACATTTCATTCGTAGATTGCGCGCGTGGTGACATCAATGCAAACGCCCGCACCATAGTTACGGTGCTCATTCTGGCCATGGATAAGGTCACATCCCGATCGCCACGCTATGATGAGAGCCCATGTTTGTTTTGACGGCCCCCTCTTCCGCATATACCATCGATGATCGGTGAGACAACGCTTCGCAGACGCGGGCTGGAGCGGCTCAGGGGCTGCAGCATCCAGTGTAACATGTAACTCAGAAAAAAAACAAGGAGTAAGGGGCGAGGGCAATGAGGAGGACGAGGACAGGGAGCGTAGCAACAGCAGTAGAAACAGGGGTAGGCGAAGGAGGGGTAAGGCAAGAGAGCAAAGGATGAGGGGAGGGGGGGAAGGACGGGGAGGGCACCAGGAGGATTAGGAGGAGGAAATGGATGACGACGCACGGCGTGAACGATCCGCAAGGCTTGCAAGATAGCTTCGGCCCATGGTCGAGCGCGCCCGCTGCTAACGGCGCAAAGCGGCGACGAGGTAGAGAAGGAAGCGAAGGATGAGGGGGCCGAGGGAGAGGAGGAGGGGGGTCAGGAAGGATAGCGCGTTGTGAACACGTCACAAAAAAGGAAGCTCGGCGGGAGATGCCGTGCGATACTTTGCGCACGCACCGCCGCAATGGAGAGAATGTCAGATCCATCACCTTCTCTACGTTTAAACCGACGCTCATCATCCTCACCCTCCCTCTCCCGAATCCTAGGGACATCGGCCCTCAATCTTAGTAAGGGCCAGCCCTCGAGTTAGACGCGGAATCGAGCTCAGCCCTCGCCCTGGCGGAACCAGCTTCAGATCTGACGAACTTGATTGTGAAGTGGATTTCTTCCGCCCTTTCCTGAAGGCCGATGCCCCCCCCCGTCCCGGATTGCCCCCGTGCCACCGAAGGCGCCGAGCTCCCAGGATGACCGAAGGCCCGAAGAAGGCTTCTCGGGCCCAATTTTCCCGCATCGGTAAAATCGATGGGGGCTGGTCGAGGGGGGGGGGGCACCAGTGTCCTTCAACTCTACTGGGATCACCAAAACCAGGTTGCCCGTCGTCGTTACCCGCACCCCTGGGGACGTAGCTTCCTCCGCCACGGGCACGGGCGCGACTGCATCGCCATTGATGGCAGTCGGCGTGCTGCCTGAGGGGGAGGAGCAGCAGCAGCAGCAGAAGAGGGAGAAGACGACGAGGTGGAGGAGGGGGGTGCGGAAGAAGCGGTGGAGGAGGAAGTGGAGGGGGAGATGGAAGAGGACGAGGAGGAGGAGGGGGCGGAGGATGAGGAGGAGGAGGAGGAGGAGGACGAGGGGGATGAGGAGGAGGAGGAGGAGGAGGAGGAGGCAGAGGAAGAGGAGGTGGAAGGGGAGGAGGAGGACGACCATAGGAGGTGAAGGAGGAGGAGGAGGAGGAGGAGGAAGAAGGATCGAGGCCTTCCATCGTGATAGTCACATTGCGTTCCGTGGGATTCGGCGGCGGCGCAAACCGAAGGGCCTCGGATCCATCGGCATTCCTGGAACTAGGGGGCAACAGTCGAGGGGGTTGCTTGCGGGCCATCTTGAGTTGTGAATGGCCACTGGCGCAGGGAGGAGTGGAGTGGAGTGGAGTGGAGTGGAGTGGAGTGGAGTGGAGTGGAGTGGAGTGGAGTGGAGTGGAGTAGAGTGGAGGGTGGAGTGGAGGTTGGAGTGGAGGTGTGATCGAGTGGAGCGGAGTGGAGGTGGGAGTGGAGGTGGGAGGTGGGAGGTGGGATGTGGGAGGTGGGAGGTGGGAGGTGGGAGTGGAGTGGAGTGGAGTTGAGTTGATTCTGCGGGCCCCCGCGAGCCTGTCAGGCGTCCGAGGGCCTTCCCAAACGTCTCCCATCCAGAATCAGTTGTCGCGCGCTGGTCCCGCTCCTGGCCTTGGCCATCTGGGGCCTGGAGCAGCGCGATGCCGATTGGCTTACCAAGAGGCTCGACGCGGGCCGCTCTAGGACCGAGAAGAACCATGGCCAGGAGCCGTCGCGACGCGCGACCTCCGATTCTGGATGGGAAGTGTTGGCTGATTGGCCGCTGAAGGCCACTCACTTGTCGGCGGTCGATGCCTCCTCCTCCGCTGCCGCTTCCTCGGCGGCCTCACGCTGTGTGTGAATGAGGAGGATCTGGTGCTGGCTGCGCGGCCACAGCTGCGCCTGCT